TTATTGCTTGTTGCATGCCTGTATCAAAGTATCTTATGTATACCATAAATGTGTACACCTACCTTGAACCCATAAAATTTTTTGAAAATTAAAAAATAAAAAACAAACCAACAACATTTGGCAGGAGTCAGTGCCTTTTTCAGACCCAGGCATCAAAGCCCTGTAAAAAATAAAGAAATAAAATAAAATTTCAGTGTGGCGTCAGCTTCAGCATTTATTTCTTTTTCTTCTTTCTGCTTTGGTTATGTGTAGAGGAAAGGATGTGGAAGAAAGGAGGAAATGGTTAGGAAAAATCTTAAAGCTGGCCTGGAGGCTAGAAAAATGAGCATAGTTTGCCTTTTTATTTTGTTTTATATGGTGAATAGGCCATGTGCATCTAAACTGGTGTGATGCTGATGTGGTTCCAGTCAAATAAACAATTCTGGGTCCTTTTTGTGTACCAGGTCCTGCAGGGGAATCAAAGATGAGGAGGACACAATTCCTGCCGTTGGGCAGACTGATATCTTGCAAAATGTATAAGACTGGGGTACAAATGGGAGAATGAAATAAGTGTGGTAAGAGAGGTGCAATGTGCTGTTAGTTTAGTGGAGTGAGGGAGATAACACATGCCAGTTGGGGGCAATCAAGAACAGTTCCATGGAGATGGTGGCATTTTAAATGGGTATTGATAAGTTAGGTAGAATTTTCAGTGGCAGAAAGGGAGTTTTATGTATCACTTCAGAAGTCCATTCTTCCCAGTTCACATCCCTACCACTACCATAATTATAAGTGCTTCTTGGAAAGCAGCTAGTAGTTGTTTTGTCCAGAATATGGCATATTAAGGGGGAAGGGAGTTGGCTGGGCAGAAGCAGAAAAAGTGGCAGGTGGGGTGCATGAGTTACAATTCTAGGCAGGAGAGATTGTACTTTAGTATTCAGTGGGGACCTCTGAAGCTTTGAGGACAGCATTTCTCTGATTGTACCTGTGCTACATTAATTACAGTCTGGCAGTTTGGGGTAGGATGAATTCATTTTCAATGGCAGGAGCAGATAGCAGTGGAGAGACTATCATGGTTGTCCAGTTGAGGTGCAATGAGACCATAGAATGGGCAACGTCAAGGGATTCAAGCAAAATGTTCTTAGACTTGGCACCAAAAGTACAATCCATAAAAGGAAAAATTGTTAAGTTGAACCTTATCAAAATTAAAAACTTTGGATCTGTAAAAGATTTTGTTAAAAAGGATGAAAAGATAAGGTACAGAATGGGTGAAAACATTTGCAAGCCACACACCAGACAAAGGGCTAGTATCTAGGCTATGTGAAGAACTCTTAAAACTCAACAGTAAAAAAAAAAATCAAATTTGAAAATGGGTAAAAGACATGAACAGACATTCACCAAAGAGGATGTACAGATGACAAATAGCCATATGAAAAGATGTTCAGCATCAAAAGTCATCAGGGAAATGCAAATTAAACCCACAATGAGATATCACTATACAACTATCAAGATGTCTAAAATAAAAAATAGTGACAACACCAAATGTTTCTGAGAATATGGAGAAATTGGATCATTCCTCTATTGCTGATGGGAATGTTATGTGGCACAGTCACAATGGAAAACAATTTGGCAGTTTCTTATAAAACTGTAAGTGCGGTTACCACACAACGCAGCAATTGCACCCTTGGGCTTTTATCCCAGGAAAATGAAAACTTATGTTCACACAAACTTGCACATAAATGTTCATAGCAATTTTATTAGTATTAGCCCAAAACAAAACTGACCCAGATAAATGGTTCAGCATTTGAATGATTCCACAAACTGTGATAAATCCACATCATGGAATACTACTCAGAAATAAAAAGGAATGAAATATTGATGCATGCAACAATTTGGCTGAATCTCCAGGGAACTTTGATATGTGAAAAAAAAAAAAAAAAGCCAAATACTAAAAGGTTATTTACTACATAACTCCACTTACATAATATTTTTGAAATGATCAATTTTTAGAAATAGAGAATAGATTAGTGGTTGACAGAGGTTAGAGAAGTAGGGTGGGGTGGGAAGGAGGTGGTGTAGTTATAAACGGACAATATAAAGAATACTTGTGAGTATCTTGACTGTTGTAGTGAATGTACAGATTTACACATGTGATAAAATACACATATACACATAGAGGCATGAATATATGATTACAAGTAAAACTGAAACATTGAGATAGATGGGTGGATTGTATCAATGTCAATAACCTGGTTTGTGATAGTGTACTAAATGTTACCATTGCAAAATGCTAATATTACCATTGCAAAAATTGATCATTTGAGGAAACTAGGTGATATGTACCATGGTAACTTTATATTCTTTGTACAACTGCATATGAAACTTACTGATCTCAATAACATTTTCCATTAAAGTGGAAATGCAAATGGACTAAAGTTTTTGATACATATTTTTTCTCCAAATAGTAGAGGCTTTCATATAATGCCTGGATGATTTGGTCATAGTCTAGATCTAGTAAATGCTAAAGGAAGACATCATTCTGCGTGACAAATGAACCGAAGTGGCCCTGAGATAGAGACTAGCACTGGCTGACCCTCATTCTATCCCTGCAATTACATGGGTATTTAACAAGCACCATGGGTTATAACCAAGGAAGTAACTACATCCCTTTGAGGTTCAGTTTCTCCCATTTGTAAATTGGGGCCTAGGTTAATCTGAAGGGTCCAAGTAAGCTTTGAACATTCCAGCGATGGAGGCAATCCAGAATCTTTTCTCTGCACCAATACGCCAAGCCAGCATCCTGGCCCTGGCGCCGTGTTTTCCTTTTTTAGCCATTACACCAGCACCTTTGCTCTGTTCTCAAGCACTCATCTTCCTTTTAACAAGTAACCTCATACTTTTCTTCCCTGTTACCCATCAGCCTTCTTCCCTCGCATAAGGTATTGAGGCATTAACCTACTAGAAAGGAACTTATGTTTTAGATACAAAGGTTCTTAAAGAGTGGAAAGTCCTAAAAAATAAATTTTAAATGGTAGAATTTTCAAGTAGAATTTCAGAGTCCAGTTGAGGATAATCATTTTGGCAGGGGATGTCTTCCCAGCTGCACCTATCTTTTGTGATCTTAGACAAGTTATACAAATGTATGTGAGCCTCAGTTTCTTTATGTGTAACATGGAGATATTATGACCTACCTTCCATGAACTGTTTACATTTTGTTCCCTTTATAGTATCTGTGACACAGAGGCATGCAAAAAAAAAAAAAAAAAA